GGGTTTAGGGTTGGGGTTGGGGTTGACAAATCTTTGGGACACGAAACCCTAAGCTAGGTGCTGGTTTTGGCGCTCGCAACCGGCAAGCCGTGTTCGGTACCTTCGCGGCTTTCCAGGAGATGATCCTTAGTGAGGTCCACTATATGGGTTGGGTTTAGGGTTATAGTTATAGGGTTTAGGGTTTTTAGGGTTTGGGGTTTAGGGTTTGGGGTTTAAGTTATAGGGGTTATTAAAGGACCCTAAACCCTAAACCCTAATTATTAAGTCCCCCATAAGACCCTCCAAGTAAATGTGACAGACTCCGGCATTCCCAGAACTTTTAGGGTTTAGGGTTTAGGCGCAGATCCTTGTTTTGGAGATTCTTCTAACGGTAGCTTCCACAACTAAAGGGACACTAATAGACACCCAAAAACACCATAATCCTTACCATGGGGCACCCCGGATTTTGGGAAACCCCCATATCAGGGTTTATGGGCATGTAAGGACCTAAACCCTAAGCTGTAAACCCTAAACCCTAAATCCTAAACTTCAATCCCCAAACCTGAAACCCTAAACTTTCAACCATACACCTGAAACCCTAAACATCTAATCCTAAACCCTAAACCCTACCCTAGGGTTTGGAGGCGGTTCGTAGGGAGGTTTTGGCTTTCAGAGATCTGGGTCTTCAGGCTCAAGGTCCAAGATTTGAGGGGTTCAGGGATTAAAACACAACTTATTGGTGGTTATAGAACCTTAGTTATTTTGGGGTTATATAGGGTTAAATAGGGATAATGGAAAAGAAAATGGAAACCACTATTTTGGGTTTAGGGTTTAGGGCTTCATTACTGTGGTTTAGAAGGGAAAAAGGGAATATAATCCCTATAAAATATATTCCCTCATTCCCAACTGACCCCTAGCAAGTTAAGGGTTTAGGGTTTATTTGGTGTCGGGAGCGGGCCTGGCATTTCATTTCCAGGGCCAGGTGATTTCATGGTAGATGGGTCGGGATGAGAGAGTTGAGGCATGCAACCTTACGGTTTCGAGTCAGGGCTTAGCGATCAGGATTTAGGGTTGAGGGTTTAGGGTTTAGAGTATGGGCTTTTTGGAATACTGTTGACAGTCAGTTTGCGGATAACACATGTGACTGCACATGTGGGTGGTTGTCAAAATTATGGGCCCTTTTTGGATCCCTAATATAATACGGCACCTAGTAGTACTTAGGGTACCCAAAGAGGGACCATAGTTTTGACAACTACCCATATGCTTAAGCATGTTTTGCAAACAGCCTCCCCTTTTTGGTCTGCATGTTGTTGGGTGAAGAAACCCCGACTCAGAGGCTAAAAAAACCCACAATAAAAAAGAATACGAATCCCCGATTTGCAAGCCGAAGTCCCCAATTCAGAAACTACAATTCCCCGATTCAGAAACTAAAATCCCCAATTCAGACACTACAATTCCCCGACTCAGAAACTAAACTGAAACTCCACTCCTCCAAGCCATTGGGGATGGGGGTGGGGCTTGGTGGGGTGGGGGCAGTCTTTTGCATTCCGAACCAGTGGGTTGTAAGAGGATTATAGTTTCCGAATCAGGCTTTGGTTTGCGAATCAGGGTTTAGGGTTTCGAGTGGGTTCTCAGATGTTTTTAGTTTTCGAATCAGGGTTTTTAGTTTCAGAATCTGGGTTTTTTCTTTCCGAATCAGGGGGTGACTTTGTTGGGTATGCTGGACAAGGTTCCCTAAGGGTCCAAGCACGTAATTGTCATTTGCTTTGCCCCAGGCCTGTACTGTCTAGATCCCAGGTACGCACCCCAACCCTGGTCCCTAGAACCCTAAACCCTAAATACTTAAACCCCTAAACCCTGAACCCTAAACCCTGAACCCTAAACCCTGAACCCTAAACCCTAAATACTTAAACCCCTAAACCCTAAAGCCTTTGTTATCTAGGCACTTGGGGGATTGATGGCGAAGCGGGGGTAGCTGAGAGAAGAGTTGAGTTGACCAAAGAGGAGCTGAGGGTTAAACGTTAGGAGGACCCCCCACCCTGTAATAGTGGTATAGTAGGAATATAATAGGACCCTAGTATAAGCCTTATTATCCCTTTTAGTCACTATTACCGGTTGGGGGGTCCACCTAAGTTAAACGGCACAAATCACGGAATATTATCCTAAGTCATCGAATCTTTGCATCTTTGAGGATAGACATCCAATACCGCTTAGTTTAGACAAACCGTTTGAAATCAGAGGATCCTAGTAGCATGTGGGATATAGATGCTTGAATTGTGGGTGGAGTGGGTTCTCGGCCTTAACCCAACGGGTCCATGTAACTATATGGCACACACTTGGACATTAAAGTAGGTATATCGGAACCCCTTTGGGCCTTAAGTATATACCATATGCCTATAGTCCCCCTTTAGTAGATAGAATATGGCTTTGGGTAGATTGTAATAAGATCCCCATATACCCCATATTCTATCTACTTAAGAGGGACTATACATGGACCTTTTGCTTGAGGGATTACTGCTCACAGGTCTGATGGTTCAGCGTCTTGAATTTAGAATGAGGGTTGAGGGTATACCAGGACCGTCCTTGTACCCTTTAAAGGGGGCAGATGGACCCTAGTAGGGGGTTATTTGGGGCATAATAGAGGGTAGATGGAATGTCTAAGAAATCTGTCGAGGATATTTTTTGAGGTACATCTATACTTAGGATGCTACTGGAAGCCGAGATCAAGGTGGAGTCTTTTTGGGCCCAAGACCTAGGCCCATATGAGTAGTATTTTATGTGGGGATATTATGGTACCCATTATAGAGTAAGATTATATCCTCCTTTTGGAGTATACTATTTTATATAAGGAATATACTCTTACTAGGTTCAACCACAAAAAAACACTACTCATATGATGAACGCCTGTTTGGGTGATGGAGTTTGACGAGACTTTGAAAGGTCCATGTGGTATCTTGCATTTGGGGTCTTTCCATGACCCACGCACCATTTGCTGCAACTAGGAGGAGGTAGACGCTCCTTGAGGAGTGTTCACCACATGTATGGGTTTCTCAGATTGCCAGAAAAGAGTCCTCAAAAGCATCCCCATCTGATGCTTCCCATATATCCTTGGGGCTCGGCCCGAAGCAGGTGACAATGGCGCGCCTCAACCACTGCAATGTCCTGTGCCACTTCAGCCACAGCGGCGTGGATGACATGTCCGAAGCTGGGACTAGAGAAGGTCCTTATTCCATTCTTCCGTTCTCTAAGTCCTATACCCAAACCCTAAACCCCAAATCCTAAGACTATGGTAACCCCAATCAGTATAACAATGCCCCTGCAAGACTCATACTGTAGTCATAAGGTCCTCATTTGGGGGTTTGGGACAACCAAACTACCCGCACTATTCCTGAGGGTTCCTTCAAGGAAGAGCTGTGTAGGAGAGATGTGGGCGACAGATTGGAGTTTAGCGATTTAGCGATGGAGTGGGGCCGACTTGATTAGCTGGTACCCCAGTAGTACCCTTTTCTCTTAATTATTAAGGCTGAAGATTATCAAAAAGAGTACCCTCTTTATCTAGGGGTTACTGGGGAACCTGGACTAGATTAGTGCTTTGGTGCAGATTACGCTTTAGTCGCACGAGGATTTGCATGGAATGGCGTTAATAATAATTCGGCCTTCCACAGATGCGCTCTTTGGACTCTCCGGTGAGAGTTTGGGGTTTAGGCCTTACGTTCACAGGTCTATGGATATTTGAGCCATCGTCTAAACTCCTTAAAGGGGGTTATGTAGGGGATTATATGGGAGACTACTATAGGGGCAATTAAGGGGGATACTTTCAGTTTAAACTACAGCTCATTTGGCGCTTATGAATTAGTGCCTGCGTGCGGCTCTCAATGTTTCAGGTCTTGCTGGGTGCATAATGTAGGTTTCAGGGTGTAGCGATTCTGGTTACTCTAAACCGTCAACCCTAAACCGTTGAGGGCTTAGGGCATCTTGTTAAGGATTCGCGGCCTGAGGCTTTCAATCAAAAGTGTAGAAATTTTCTTCTTGCTGGTCCTAGAAGCCGCAATGCTACGCCCAGTCCGAAGATACCCGAAGCCCCCAAGCCTAAACCCTAAAGCCCCAAAGCCCCCCAAGCCTGAATCCTTAAAGCTAGGTCCTTATCTCTGAAACCTGCCCCCCACCCAAACCAGCGCGACCTTCAACCCTAGTTCCTAAACCCCTCCACACACCTCTCAGCCATGGATGATAGAATCCTTGACAAGGACCCCCCCCCTTACGCCCTTTGTAATCCCGAGTCGCCTCTAGAGTCCCAAGGCCCCTTGCTACGGAAAGCCCTCTACGCACTTCTTCCGGCCTTTGTTTAGCTAGGAATCAAGGAATGAAGTAGTTTATATATGGGGGGTTTCCTACAATGAGGGGTACTATTTTGGGGGGTCCCAATAATAAGGATTATAGTACTTTGGGGTCTAGATTGGGGTCCCCCTAGTTAGGGAAACTACCATATAACCCATTCTGGTAGTTTCCATGCTCTTTTCCATTCCTTCACTCCCAGCTAACCAAAGGCCAGTCTTAGCCAAGGATAATACCTGCCATAACCCTAAACCCTAAACCCTAAACCGAGGATAACACCTGCCATTTTGGCCTGAACAACTTCTTCGCGGACAATGGCCTCCAAAGTCACTTGGGATCATCTAGGGTTTAGGGTTTAGGGTTTAGGGTTTAGCTGGGAACCCTTGTAGCTTATGGGGGTTAGTATGGGGACTACCTAGGGATANNAGGGGTTATATAATGACTATATAAGGGGGATATTTGGTAATGGGATTAAGGGTGCCTAATAGGGGTCCCTCCTAAAGTCCCTAGAATCTACACCCTCTAAAAACCCTACGGCCGTCAAACACTAAGATCCCACCCTAAACCCAAAAACCTCGTGAACCTACTCATGGAAGTTTGGTATAACGAGGTCATGCAGGGCTTTTGCAGGAGCTGATTCGAGAAAAGATCGAAGGTCTACTCTATGTTTTCCTTGCAGAGCCACAGAAATTTGTGTTTGGCAGGCCTCCAGATCAACCCCCCAAGGCCTTTGTTTTAGCCAAGTAGTAGCCATGTTACCCCCCAAATGAGCTACAAGCGCCCACATTAAGGCTCCCTCCTGAACCCCCGGATCAACCTTAAGCCGAGATAACAAGAATTTCTGTTAATCTTCAAGTAAGACAGGTGAGACCTGTCCTGACACGATGCTTGCCTGGTCTTGGATCATTTTGGGTTTAGTGATTAGGGCTTAGGGGTTTAATCGCCTTTGGCCCCTGAAGCCTACATGGTTCATGATAGGTTTTAGGGTACATAAGATACACTTGACTTCGCCCAAATCCCATCTTATATGTGCTTGAGAGCCGTAGGTAGGTTGTCGACATAATGGCTTTTCTTGGACACCCTGCATTTGAGGGGCTGTCTTATACTGAGAAACCAGAGGGAGAGTACAATTTCCAGAACCTACCAATTCATGTCTACAGTATGTCGCAATCCTCGTAAGCCCCTATGTAAGCCCTGTTTCCATTTCACTTTCCATGTTCTTTTCCATTTCATTCTCCATTACTCCTAAACCCTAAACTCTAAATCTTGCATAGTTTCCATTCTCTTTTTCCATTAACCTTACGGAACCCTATATAACCCTATAGTAACCCTATGTAACCCTATATAACCCTATAGCAGCCCTACATAACCCTTTAAGTGTACAGGCATCTTTTCTTCCCTGCCGATGTCCATCAAACTTCGAAGTTGGTGGAGACGGTCTTCTGGAAGCAAGGTTTGCGCTTCATCTACACCACCCGGTCGAAGGTGCAAGACCCCCAGGAGGTTTAGGGTTTAGGTGTTTAGGGTTTTAGGGGTTAAGGGGTTTAGGGTTTAGGGATTTAGGGTTTAGAGGTTTAGGGGTTTGGGGTTTAGGGTTTAGGCCCTGTCGAAGATGCAAGAGACGTAGGGAGTTGCGCAGAAGTCGGGGTGCCCTTTTATTGGGCAGGATGAGATGATCAGAAGGGTTAGTGTATTCTGGGAGGGCGGAGGGAGCAAGGCTTTTTTCGTAGTAAGGTCCTTATCAGAAGCATCATGGATTAGTGGCTACATCTAAGGGGGCCGGGGAACCCCATGCTTATGAGTTTGTGAATGCATTGTAAACTCAGTGGAGCGAGCTTGTTGGGATGGAACAAGTAAGGCAGCCTCTAGAGGCTCATTGTGAGTCTACGGTGGAAACAATATACCTTCGGGGCTTAGGGTTTAGAAAGCTTTCTTAAACGTGGAGGAAAGATTGAATTTCAGGAAAAGCAGAGCATGCAACGCCAGCCTTATCGGTACACCCAAAGTTAGCAGGTGTGTACCATGAGAGGATTTTGGTAATCCCGCAAAAGGGACCCTTTAAGAGTCATATGGATAGTCATAGGGTCCTCCTTTGGGGGGCTGGGGCAACCAAACACCCTTTATGAGTATCAGCTTGGTGGTTAGTAGGAACATGATCCCTATAACATCCCTATATAACACATTCCCGCATGCCCTACATTAAGCACCAGTAAGACTAGGGTAGGAGTTCAGGCTCAGGAGGTTCTGCTTTACGATTACAAGGTCAGACCCCGCAGGTCCTATAACGGTTTTGGATTCCGGGTTGGCAATTCAGGGTTTAGGGTTCAGGGTTTACGGTTGAGGGAAAACCTTGTGTACCTTGGTCGGATTGCCAAAGATACGGCCTTGGAAAGCTGGAATACCTAGAGGGTGGTACGTGCAGCGAAGGATATTCCACTAAACTCTAAACCGTGTGGCTGTTCTTGTCACAGGGCTTGAGAAGCAGCCAGCAAAACTGCAGTTTTTTGGGAGATGCTGACGATGTTGATGATGACGATAAGTACCATGACGAGGATTTGGACAGTACTGACGACAACACGAAGAGTGCTCAGGGCTAATGTTTGCACACCCCATGCCCAAAGGGTCCACGTAGGAATACCGTAGATTATACGTGTAGGGGCTAAAGGGTTTGCCATACGCCTACTTTGGGTCCCAAGTATTTATTATGAAGCTACATGGATTCTTTGGGCGGTAATATAGGGAGAGTCCATCCACGCTCAAACAAGCCCACGCAAGATTCATCCCATTTCTTGCACCCTGCCACCCTAAGTCCCGCGATCCTTTAACCCCTAGATGCTGAATCCTGAAGTCCTAAATCCTTGTCTCTAAACCTTAGATAGCCCTATATAGCCTCACCAAAAAACAAACGCTTAAAAGCCTTCAGCCCTTAACCTTACTTAAGGGGGACTCTATATCTACATATATATATATAAACCCTAGACATATATATATATATACATAAACCCTAAACCCCATCCTGGAGGTGCCAGAGTTACTGGATGAGCAAGGCAATGCCTTCTATGCAGACCGTGAAGCTCTTCAGCTCGGGACGGATGATCTGATCTGTGGCGACGAATCTTGTGACTCAATGCACGCGGCTTAAGGCTTAGAGCTTATAGTCCCCTTTATGTAGATAGAAGATGGGGTATCTGGGGATCTTATTATGATATACCCAGAGGCCTTTTTTATCTACTTAAGGGGCACTATAGGGTTTAGAGTCAGGATTATCCTGTGGCTCAGGCTTGCAGAGTATTCGGACCCCCCGGTATCCTTTGAAAAGCAAGTTGCTGTTACAGAAGGTGTTCAAGCCAAAGCCACCAAAGGTTCAGGAATCAAGTCATCAAATCGTAAACCACGAATCCTTGGACCCTAGGTCTTCACGCGCTACAGCAGGCTTGGGATGAGCACTTCCTTTAAAATTGTGCAGATCTCACACGTTTTGGGGCGTTTCAATTTGGTTCACAGATGATAAGAAGGGAATTCATCCGCAGCACACGAACTTCCTTGTTGCCAAATATGAAATCTAAACACACCTCAGACAGCCCGAGCTTCCATTCCATTTTTCATTGCATGTTGCATCTGGTTTTCCATCGGCTAGAATTGCAACACTTCTCCAACACACTGCACACGCGGATGGTTCTCTAGAAATGATACATTGAAGATTCCATGTCACGCTGTTTGGGCTCATTCATAAATAAGCCCAGGATGCTTCCACGAAATCAACTAGAATCCTCACGAAAATAAAGGGAGAAAGGCCCTTACCTGTAAAATCAAGATGTTTTTACCGAAGTCTTATGATGGCAAACCTTGAAAACGCAGCAGTTGTAATGTAGAGCTTAAATAAACCAGCCTAAATAGGTACGAATCACATGCCTTTAATATCCTGAGTCATCCATACCCTAAACCCAAAATCCCAAAACCCTAAACCCCAAAATCCTACGCCCTGAAATCCTAAGCCCCAAAACCCGAAACCCAAAACCCTAAACCCTAAACCTACCCTAAACCCTGAACTCCATATTATATTCCTGCAGGGCCCCTTTCGGCAGGTAGTTCTGACTTTGTATCAGAGAATGGCTACATTGAACCTAACTGTCCAAAAGTCTTAGGGTTTAGGGTTTGGGGTATTCAGGATTTGAGGTTTAGGGTCTAGGGTTGTGGGTTTTAGGCTTTAGAGTGACTATACCATTTAGGGTTCAGGGTTTAGGGTTTAGGCGTAAATAAGGGCTCCATTTTTGGCCACCTTTTCCCAGGTGATGGCTACATTGTTTCCTATGGCGATGGCTTGTATCGGTCGATGGATGCAGTGCGAAGGTTCCATCCGAAGCCTTACATGTAATGGCTTAGTCCATGGTTCTACTGGTATATCAAAGCCCTTTTACTTCGAGATACCTTCCTAGACCCTCCATCTATCCCTGTCATAGCCACAAATACCCACAATAATGGGTCTGACGGTACAAGGAGGGTCATGGTTCAGTGTTTTCTCATGTTATGACGCCAGGCTCCGGCAGCTGGGAGTCAACATCGGCTTGGTAAACAAGTGGCACGCCAACGCGGTAGCTTGGCTTGAAGGTCCGAGTCTTTTCAGGGAGTACTCAAGGGCAACTAAGCCCTATACCCTAAAGGGAATACACAGGGATGCATTATATGGTTTAGGACTTAGGGTGTTTTCATGCCAACTTCAGGTCTCCAAATTGAGTGAAGGTTGTAGGAAGGTCCCGGTTATGAACTTTTCTCCAAATCAGGGACCCGACAGCCCTCTAGGAAGGTCCTGGTTGAGAACTTGTCTTTCAAAAACTCCTTGCGGGATAAGGCAAGGCAAGGTTCAGGATGGGTTCTACAAATACGCGCTTTAAGGTTCACGGTTTAGGGTTTAGGGCTGCTGTCAAGGAGCTTAGGCTCCCTGACTTTGATCTGAACTTCACGGAAATAGTAGGTTTCCTCATAGAGAGAACTCAGCTCAAGATCGTTAAACTTGAGGATGCTAGAGCCCTAAAACCCAAACCCCAAAACCTTAACTCCTAAGCCCTAAACCCTAGGCCAAGGTAACATCCCATGGCTGTTCAGTCTACAGGTTCGCAGACCATGAACTACAAGTCCCCTTGTTGTTAATTCCTCAGGTTTGGGTAGAGGGTCCTTGTTAGGGGCCCTGGGGGGACGTAAACAGCAATGCCGCTATGGCCTGCGTGGGACGCGGAAAACATTGTGTTTGTGGGAGGTGTCGGCACCACGCATTCTGGCTTCTGACCGCATGTATGGGCAGTGCATACGCAGACAGCATAAAGTCGTCAAGTCTTGGAGCCTCCGATCTCTTGAATTTTTTCCCTGCGCCATTCGTCCAAGCTGCGCCCCATCAGTCCAAGGCGCTCCCCGAAGGACTTTTTGTGATGGCTTGTCCTGGATCCCTAAGCTTCATACCCCAAAGCCCTACATCCGAAGCCCAGACACAAAGTATTCTGAACCTTAAGACTTGAACCCTCGACTTCTTGCTACCGTAGGTAGACGAGCGGATGATGAACATCATCGGCCGCTCCAAGTTTGTCCTCGTTGTGGAGTTGCTTGCCTTCCAATTGGTTATATAGGGGTTACAATGCCGTATATAAAGTTAATTAGGGGTTATATAGTTTTAGAGGTGGGCTGTCGGATCTGGACTTAGATGCTTGTCATATCCAATGAGGAATCAGTTTCGGGCTCAGGGATGAGGGCGGATTTCAGAACTGTGCGCTTCATCGTTTATTGTTGGGGGCTGCGAGGCTTTCTTTGTACCGAACAACCCTGTCGCCACTGCGTAGCTGCTGTGCGTAGCTTGGAGGAGAAACCTGGTTCTTGGATTTAGGCAGAACGACGGGGTGTTCAGCGTTTCCATCCTTGCCCGCTCTACGCCCAAGTCAGAATGGGCACCGAAGTCTACAGCACCTAAAGCCCAAGGACAGATGACTCTGAAGCACCACAAAAACCACAGCCAAACCAAATGCTGAGCCTTAGATTCACGCCTTTCAAAACGAATGACAAACTGCGGGTCGACACCATCTACTGACAAGCCCTGGACGCACTCTCACACCATTGTTGGAATAAAAGGTCCAAGGACCTGGTAGCTAAACTTGCAACCCACCAACCCTTCGTCCTCATCGCTGACTTACAAGAAAGGGGTCCTGGCAGCTACTCACTAACTCTGGCTTTAATTCCGGTAGTTTGTGCGGTATGTAGAGGAAAGAGTTAGGTCCTACAGGGTGGAGGGTTAGTGTATGGAATTGGGAAGCACATCCACCAATCAACCCAGAAGTACCAGCTTTCCACCCTGAAGGATAGCCCTGAACCTCCAACTCCTTGAGCTCTGAACCCCCTGTGCCCAGGGCTAAATTGAACCTTAAGCCCTAAACCTTAAGAGAACCCCCCTCCTGTAATAGTGATATAATGGGGAATTAAGAGAGCTCTTATATAGTCCTTATTATCTCTTATAGTTGCTACTGCTGGGGGGGGTTCCACGTAACCTAAACCCGAAGTAGAAAACAAGGTAGTCTAGAGCCTTTACAAAAGTCGTGGTGTTCGAAGCCAAGCAGCACTAAGCCTGAGTCTATCAACAACTGACTCCTGCATGACCTAATTTCAATATGCCTCAACCACATGGGCATTATGGCAGGGGAGTACTTTGAGGGACCCTGGAGTTAGGCAATATGCTAAATCCCCATGAGAAGCCCATTAAGTAGGTTATCTAACCAATTAGTAACCCCAAGGTGCCACAAAGTCAACTCTAAACCCTAAAACGTGCGTTCCCTAAAACCGCTTTAAAGGGACCTAAGGGTATCCCCCGAGTAGTGCAAAGCATACATTGGATCATGCGGAAGTACTCATCCAGCCTCGGGTACATAAATCTAAAGGGTCCAAGTGCCCAAATGACGGGATTTCAGGGACCAATTTGGGGCGAACAATCCACATTATTTGGGTACTTGGACCCTTGAACCCCAAAACCCTAAAGCCAAATCCATGATTTGGGGCTTTGGACCCGGAGCTCAGACGACCAAGCCCCTGAACCCCAAAGCCCTAAGCCGCAGTCCCAAGTTTCTAAGCTCCAGAAGCCCAAGTCTCCCCGGGGGCTCCGAACCCAAGCCCCTAATCCCTAAAGTTTAGGGTTTAGGTTCAGGGTTTAGGGTTTAGGGTTTAGGGTGGTTTAGGTTATCCCTAGACCCGGAGCGTTAGGCCCTAAACCCGGCGTGTAGTGCGCCTTCTGCATGGATTGCCAGATGAAGAACAACAATTGAACCTAAACCGTGAACCCTGGAACCCCCGAAGCCTAATCCCTAGACCCTTTAAAATCTAAACCCTAAAACCTAATCCCGAAACCTTCAAATCTGAAACCTAAACCCTAAATCCTAATCCCTAATGCCTAAAACCTAGTCCCTAAACCCTAAAACCTAAACCCTCAACTCTAACAATGTATAAGGTCCCAAAGCATCCGCACCGGGCTTGGCCTGCGCTTGGGAACTTGGCTGCTGGAACGCAGCTGAGCTCAAAAAGCAATGGAGCTTAGGGGCTTAGGGTGCATGGTTTAGAGCTGTTAGGGTTTAGGGGGCTGAGGGTTTCGGCACTAGGGTTTGGGGGTGTAGGGTTTAGGGTTTAGGGAGGGGTTTACAGTCTCTCATCAGAGATAGGGAGAAAAGGTGTAGGGGGTGTAAGGTCTAGGGTATAGAGCTTGTAGGTTTTTCGGCAGTCTGGCTGGGGCTTCAGGACTCCCACTTATGCGGCCAAATTGATCCATAAAAGGCCTATGAGCATTACCTTCCCCACATTACCTTCCCCACATAGAGGCTCTTGTTAAGGGCTTGTTATGGCTTTCTTTGGCTTTGGTCTTGGTTGGCGTTCGGCAAATAGATTTGCAGGCTGTTGGACCAACTGCAATGGCCAGGATGGTTGCAATGCCAGTCATGACAAAACTCTTCATAATCAGCAGTGGAAAGTACCAAAGTTCGTTGCGTCTACTACTGGTATGTCCAAGCGTCGGTGAGGTTGTAGCTTAAGGCTTACAAGTCCTGTCAACTATGCGTCCTGTTCGGCGTCCACACCGGATACTGGGCACTTCCAAGGCAGATGAGCATTCACCCAAAGGGTCCATGCAGCTATGCAGTATATACTGGGCCGCAGAGTCGGTATATAAACCCTTTAGGCCCACATATATACCATATTCATACATGGACCGTTTGGGTGAGGACAGGCCAAGTACTTGTTCGTGGAATTTCGTTGAACGTTCGCGAGGAGCAAGGTTCATGTGGAACGCAAGAGCCGCGCAAAATTCGGACGCAAGAGGCGACTGCCAAAGGACATCAAAAAGGAATCATACAGGGCTCAGGCAAGCCACAAGATTTGAAGCACTCACCCTCAAAATGGGGCAGCTACATCCTAAACCCAAACGTCCTAAACCCTAACCCTCCTAGACCCCCCCAAAACCTGGGCGCAATGCTTTGATGGGAAGTCCTCTCCCACCCCAAACTCCTAAGCTTCGCAGGCTTGACCCTGAGCCTTGCATTCCTGTAAACCGCGACCCCACCCTTCAGCCCTGCACTTAACCAAACTAAAAAAATCTAGGGTTTAGGGCTTCGGGGTTGGGGCTTAGGGTTTAGGACTTACGGTTTGGGGCTTAAAGTTTAGGGCTTTGGGGTCCAAAGTCAAAAATGAGCATGAGGCCTGCAACCACATGCAAAGGCAATCTGACGCCCCGCTTCGGGCGCTGCGGTACGCACCGTGATGGTTGCTGTGGCACGTGGGAGCATGCTTACCACCAAGGCCCAAAGAAGGAGTTCCGGATTGAGGGTTTGGAGTTTCAAGGAAACACAAACCTGCGTCAAGCTGGAAAGAAGAGAGATAGATAACTTTGAATCATACCTCAATCCGGTACTGGTGTTTAGTAGGGGATGAGGAAATTGGATCATTGTTTGAATGCCTGCACAATTCCCTGGGAGAAAGGGCTTGATGTGTAGCTACCCACAATTCCAGGGCGAAAGAGCTTAGTCTTACATGCGTTGGGGCCGAAACCCCTTAACTCCTAAAACCTAAACCATGTCGGAGCCTGAAATCGAGGAGGCTGCTTCTTCAAAATCCCATGTCAGATTAGTGATTGAGGCGAGGTTTCCAGACATGGCATCTCTTTAGGAGGATTGGAGTCTAGGGTTTGAGGTGTACAGGCCGCAAGCTGTTGCATGGTTTGTGAGCTTCCCTAGGCCCTGAACCCTAAACCCAAAACCCTCAATCCCTAAACCCTGAACCCTGAACCCTGAACCCACCCTAAGCTGTTCATACGATTTGTTTTTGCAGTCCGTTCGCTCATTCAGGAAGATTGTGCGATAGCCCTAAACCCTAAACCCTGTATTCTATCTACTTAAGGGGCACTAGAACCCAAAATATAGCCTAGTATAGCCGACAAGCAGCTTGCAACTCGAATCTGCCCTTCCATCCCTATGTATTCCCAATATAATCCCAATGTAATCCCCATATACCCCCTATATAATCCCAATCCAACTCCTAGTTAATTGATCCTTCCCACTTGATGTATTTCTGGCTTTCGTTCAACTTGTGGCAACAGCGCTCATACTCTGAGTTCTAAGAGGACATACGTACAAGCAACTGTTGTGAAAAGCTCCTCAAGCGTTGCTTGAGACATTTAGCAATAATAATGAGAAGCATAATGGTAATAGTAATCGTAGTACTAATAGTAGACTCGAATTATGTTGGCTGCAGGGGAGACATCCTTTCGTTGTGGAATGTACAGCTGAACACCCATCCCTAAGACGCGAAGCCTACATCCCTAGACCTTAGATATTGCACCATTTAGATAGATCCTATGGTTATATACTACAAACCTTAGTACACACAGTTAATGGATGGTTGGCTGTACCCAGCCTAAAACCTTAAATACCGGGTAGTAGTTTACACTTCACATTTAATTTCGCTTCCTATTGATTCCCCATTACGGTGCCTAAACCCCCAGGCCCCTACTTCATCACTAAGGCGCTAAATCCCACCCCCCAAACCTGCACGGACGAGCTTTTAACCCTTCTGCAGGTGGAAAAGAGACGCCATGAACAAAAAAGAAAAAAACAACCTCAAACCCTAAACTCTAAAACCCCAAGACCCTAAACAGGCTTCGACACAGCTTCCATCACCCAGAAGGTTCTCGACCTGGGCAAAATTCACCCAGAGCTGGCAGGCCACTTAGGGTTCAGGGATGTATGAGAAGGACTCTCCAGATGGGAGCGTGCCATCGTAGTCCTCTTCTTGGCGTTTTTTGTCCGAAGGGTCCATGTAGGAAGATTGTATGTACTTAGGTCCCAAAGAATTTCCCGTATACCTGCTTTGGGGCCCAAGTATATACCATATAGCTACATGAACCCTTTGGGTTATGACGCTTGGTAAGTGAACGCATATGAGTACAGGGCATTGGCTCAGGTGCTGGGCACCCGAAACCCTGAACCCTAATCCTGAACCGTAAACCTTAAACCCTGTAAAGCCTAAACCCTGGACCCTAAACTCTGAGCTTAAACCCCGAATCCTGAAGTAAACCGTGCGGAAGGAGGTGGATGCTGGAGGGGCAGAACTTCTGCCACACGAAAAGAGCATGTTGTGGAAAACTTCTTCAGCTGTAGCCCAGGGGATCCCTGTAGAATATCGTATATATTTCAGCACCAAAGTACGTATATGGGAAAGCCTTCAGGCCCTAAGTATATATTATATTCCTACATGAATTTCTTTGGGTATTTGTGGGTAGACCCAGAGGCCTCCATGTAGTACTTTTTGTGGCAGTCTATCTCTTAGTTGCTAAAACCCATTCAAGGAGCTTCATCGGAGCCCTGGGAGAAGGTTCCAGGTTTGAGGTATGGCACGCATGAACCCTGAAAAGGGTTTAGGGTTTTGGGGTTTTGGGTTAGGGTTTAGGGTTAGGGTTTAGGGAACCTTAAACCCTGAATCCTAAACCCTAAAACCCTAAAACCTAGACAAACATTGGGAGCAGGCCCCGAATCCTGGCGAATGTGTTTGGAAGATGCCCCAAGAGGGATGTTGAAAGATATCTGTAAGCTGCAGTGATTCAATTTTAGGGTTTAAGGCTTAGGGTTTAGGAGTTGGGGTAGGCATAATTTCGCGCAGTCAAAAGCAACGAGTTTCAGGATTTGAGGTCATGCAAGTAATTCATCGAAGACATGTCCTTAGCTGCTAGCTGCCTCCTATGTCTAGCATGGTCAACGTCTTACAATGATAGACTGGGATTCCTAAACCCTAAACCCTAGGGGGTTCCAAAAGCTTTGACAGCCTTATCCACGCAGGGCATCTGGTTGGGCGAGATGCGGAGTCCAAGGGCCATGAAGTCGAAAAATCTTACCTACTTTAGGGTGCTTGGATGCCTAGACTGAGTTTCAGGGTATGCGGAAAAAGTCCAAACAGTAAATAGCTTCGTATCCTTGCCATGGGCAACTGCAACGCCTAAACGTTTGCAGGAGAAAGGAATATGTCGAAGATCTTCGAAGGGTTCCCTGAGGCTCCAAATACATGGTCCATACCTACTTGAGTGCCAAGAAGTATATACATAGTACCTAGAGTTTTGGACGCCTAGGGGCGTGTTGGGAGAGATCTTTGCGTTTGCGTTGCAAAGTTTTCAAATTACTGCCCCCATTGTTCGTCCATGAGAAAGCCTCATACAGATTCGCCAACAGAAAAGGCAGAAATTGTGAGATGAATTTCACCGAAAACACCAGCTTGTCAGGCAAAGTTGAGAAAGACATCAGGGCTCCGTTGTATGAGAATCACAAACAGCGGGCGGTGGCAACAATGCTGCATTGGGCAGTGGGAAGCCTGGTTCCAGTACGTACTCCAGTTCTATTGATCACTTCTCTGCTTTCATTAAGAATTCCGACAAGAGCATCAAACTCATCACGCATGGAACGAACTTATCAGCTAAGTGACGGGCAGGATGGGAACAGATCATTGCAGGGATTCACATGATGTTCAGTCGTTTCGAAACATTCTTGCGCATGTCTAAACTGAGTGCAAGAGACTGTCTGGAGCTTGTAGGCTTCCTACCCAGACCTACTAGTTCGTATGCATCTAGCGCCGGCTGGTGTTAAAAGAAGTTCTGGCCCCGCAACAATGGAGGAGGACGTTGAAATAAGGCCTAAACCCCGATAAGTTGAACTCCAGCACTCCTAATAGCGAATCATTAGATATGATGTTTTAACCGTAGATCTAGGGGCACCAGCTCTATGTCATAAACGTGAAGGTGTAGGGTTCGGTTTTGGGATCCCAGCAGAGCTTGGGCTTGAGGACTTTTTGGGATGGCTAGGGCTAACAGAGGCTAGTTTAGAGGAAGCCAAAGCAGGAGACAGTGTGGGGGGTTAATAGGGGAGCAACGTTGAACCTTAAAGCCCAAAAAAAATCACTCCTAACCTTGGACTCTGATAGTTCAGGGGTTAAGGTTTAGGGTTGATCCGAGCTTCGAAGAATCTTGGAGTCCTCTTAAAGTCTACAGAGAACAGTTTTGGTCACAGATCCAACTTGCAGAGCTTATGAGCTCGGGATGTCTGCCACACACCTCATCCGCAGTCTCCTTGGGAAGTCTTCTCCATTTTTTTAGTAGAATTAAATCCTATAAGGAAGTACTAAGATCATGGTTGTACTATAAGTCTAGGGGGAATACAATCGTAACCCCTGATTTTTTGTATAAGAAGATCCTATGAGGAATTACTTAGATCATGGTTTTGCTATAAGTCTAGGGGGAATACAGTCCTGAAACCCAGACCCCACAAGCCCTAGACCCCAAGTCCTAGGCCTCACAAGGTCCTGACCCTAAGCCCTTAACCCTAAATTCAGCTTCAAGCCGACATCATGAACTTGCCCCCAAGTCTTCGGGCGTAGGGTTTAGGCATTAGGGTTTAGGGTCCTAAGACTCAACCCCAAACCCAATCCTAAACCCAAAGCTCCGCACCTCAACCCGTAAACCCCAAAACCTAAACATTGAAGCTTCAAATCTAGACCCGTAAACCCCTACTTAAGCCCAAAGCTCTAGACACAAAAAATTAACCCTGAAACCCTTAAACCCTAAACCCAAAACCCTGCAACCCTAAGCCCTATATAATCCCTATAATCCCTACATAACCCCTATACTCCCTGTAGTTTCCATTTTCTTTTCCATTATCCCAATATAACCCCAAAACGTCTCGCTCAGGCACGCCCGCTTATTTCAATCCCCCCGGCCTCGGGTCAATGCTGAGCAGAGATCCTACAAGCACCTAGGCTGAGAAGGGGTCCTCTAGGTGGTTACCTAGGCTGATAAGGGGTCCCCTGTTTAGGGTTCAGTTTGGGGTTGTAGGGTTTGGGGTTTGACTTTAGGTGGTTAGGATTTAGGGTTTTAGGGTTTGGGGTTTGACTTTAGGTGGTTAGGATTTAGGGTTTTAGGGTTTGGGGTTTGACTTTAGGTGGTTAGGGTTTTAGGGTTTTGGGGTTTGCTGTGATGTAGCAGGGATGATCAGGCCGGAAATCGTTGTCGCTGTGACGAAAAGTCACATTGGAGGCCCTTGTGGGAGGGTGGCCATTCGAGAGCTGCAACAGGGTCTAGGTTTGGGGGTTTTGGGTCCCTAAACCCTAAACCCTGAACCCTACACCCTAACCCCTTTGTTTAGGGTTTCTTCCTGAATGATTTCTTCGCATTCCCAGGCCGGTTCGACCTTGAGCTTGCCCGTCACCAAAACTCCCTGGTGCAAAACTCCCTGGTGCAAAACTCCCTGATGCTGCACAAGAGAGAGAAAACCCTTCATATCTGTCCGAGCCTTTCAAATACCCCAGACATCGCCACGCCCGGCAAGAAATCTCCAAAGAGGCTGGTGGAGCCACCCCCAAACCCTAAAGCTTAAACCAGGCTGGTGGAGCCACTTGAAGTCCGGGAATGGCTGGAGCGAGTGAACGCTTCAGTTGGTCAGGGTCTCAAGGTTAGGAGTTAAACATGTACCCCCCCAAATGTACTCCTTCCCCAATTTAGAACCCTATTAGGCCTTATCAAGCTCCATAATATAGTCCTTATTAGCTCCTTAAACCCTGGGGGGGGGGAGGTACATTTGGGGGGGTCGTCTTGTAACTCCTAACCTAACGCACCGCTTAGGACTTGGCAAATTTGGCAAGAAGGCTCACCTCCCTCTTACTGCCCTGCCTAAACCCCCACCTGCAGCGTGGGTTTAGGAGTTAGGTTTTTTCAGGGAGAACCCCAATTCCTAATTAAGCCCTATGTAAACACTAGGCAGGGAACCTCAGAAGGGGTAGGGTCTATAAAGGTTTTTGGGGTCTAGGGTAGTAGAGCAGAAGCGTGTCGAAAAATATGGCCGGGTGTTGATTATGATTTTGGTTAGTGTTTAGGGCTCGCCCTGAAGCATGCTGAGTGTATATGCGGGGTGTCCAGTGGGCAAGACAGCGAATAGAAATCTTGCGTCACATACAATCCCTTTAGCGGGACGGGGTCTTTCAAAGGCTGTTTTGGGGGCTTGCTTCCATGTTACATTGGGGACGTAGCTGGGAATGAATGAAGGCATCAATGCTTTGTCTCCGTAAGCAAACCCCAAGCAAAACAGTTCGAAGTAAACCCTAAACCCTAAACCGCGTCCTTCGTGGACTCGTATCATTCAGCGGTCATCCGATCCAAGCCCAAGCCCTCACCAGCGGACCGCGTGAGGAAAGTGCTCTGCATCAAAAGAACTTGGCCATCAGCCCTCAATCCTAAGCCTTAAGCTCTAAATCCCAAGCCTTCAACCCCCAAAACCCCCAAGCCTTTAACCACCAAACCCTAAACCCTGAAAACGTTCACCCTAAGCCTCTTAACGCCTAAGTGTAAGCCCCGAACCTCTAAGCCCCATCATGACCCTAAACCCAACCCTGAAACCCCTAAACCTTAATTCGCATCACTGAATGGCAAGGTTCGGAACCCTGGCTCCAGGCAACAAGGCTGGGCTAGCATCAGAGCATGGAAGAGCGGTCGAGGGTTTAGGGGTGTAGGGTATAGGGGTTTAGGGGCTT